ATTTCTAGTTATTTTTGCATTCATTATGTTTACTTGTTTTTGTAAGGTGGATAAATACTGTTTTTTATTTATTGAATGTCTGTTGTTGTATGAAATTGGATCGCCGGTTTAGAGCTTTAGTATATATTTATTTGTTATGTACTTTTTCTATGTTACTATACGAATAATACTTTGTAGATCAAAATAAAAGTATGCTATAATGGTAAATTTAATACCATAAATGTTTCAAAGGAAGATTCTATTTTTTAGTTCGGTAAAAAGCGACTACAAACTCAATACCAATTGCTTCTTTTATGAGAACAGAAATTAGTTGAATTTTTATTAGCAATCAAGTATTTTCTCTCAATCTATGATAAATTGCAGTTACAAAAATCCTTATTTAATTTAAGTAAATAATTTATTTATTAAAAAGAGTACAGAAAGTTTTAGTTTTTATAAATAAGTATATAATCGTGAGTATAGACGTATGAGATGAAGGCAGGAATGTACGTACATATAGACAACACATTAATTTTATATTTACCTACGTATTTATGGTAGGTTATATTTTAATAGGATATAGTAGAGGTGAAATTTTTTAGATTAGGGTAATTTCGAACATTTTAAGAAGTACTTAGTCGATAGTTACTTTGACGCTTAATTTGAAGGGTAAGGTAGGTACTTATAGTCTAAGATCCCGATCTATGTGGATGGACCCCTCACTCTTTTTTCAAGCGAAATTATTATTTTTAAACCATGACACATATTAATAAACAAGACCCAGGAAGTTTGTCAAAAAGTTTGTTAAAAACCTCTAGTCTAGAGATGGTTTGGTCAACCTTATAATGTTCAACCTTTGTAATAAAAATATCTACATTTTGACCTTTGCTTTGTTCCGGAATACGATCCAATACGAGCAATTAGCGACTTCAATTTACCTGTTTATACTTGGATGTGTTGGTAATGTGTTCTAAAAAGGCCACCAATCGTATGATGGCATTTTCTACAAGTCTTTCGATTGATACTAAGTTATCATATGAAAAGAGTTCTTGAGCTTTAAAAAAAAATTGTTTTTTTTTTTAACTAAAAATAGTTTAGAGCAAATGTTTGGGAGACAACACCTGACTGGGTCGAGTTTGTTTAAATGTTTTATCGTTTAAAAAATATACTTCGCCTGGGATAAGAATGAGGGGTCCACCACATAGATCGGGATCTCTCTTACTATTAAAAGGTTAAATATTTTGGAAATATTGATAGAAGATGAAAAGATTAATACGAGATAGAAAAAATTGGAAAGGGATACTATACTCGTAGTTTTAAATAAAACTATCTTTTCAGATTTTTTCGCAGATTTATTTTGATTTTTGGTTCCCGACGTTTCGAATGCTTTACAGGAATCATGGTCAGGAGAGGCTGAATCAAAACCCGTGAAAAACCGGAAAAGATCGTTTTATTTATAATGTCAAATATTTGTATAAATCTAAGAAATGATACTATAGTTTTTTTTAATATTTCAACATCTATACTCACGTCTTAATCACATATCACTTTGTGATAGATACAACCGTTTAAAATATATGAATTTGCATTAGGAATGTACATGATTATAAATTTTATCTTAAGTAGTTACAATATATATATATATATATATATATATATATATATATATATATATATATATATATATATAAATTTTTTCATGGTCATTTGTTTTTATTAAAAAAAAATAAGATTTACAAAAGAATGCACTGAATTGAGTGTAACAGTGTGTCAGATAACTTTTAAAAAGTAAGATTTTCGTTCGTGCATTCTTAATGCAAATCCAAGTCCAAGTCAACTTCAATGAAACAGAACTACGTAAATATATTTTAATAAATCAACTATTTGTCTCTTTATTTCAGTAAATTTCATGTATTGATTACTGAAAACTAATTTCATGATTAAGTAATGTTAAAAGAGATTTTTTTTACATTTCATGAATATAACGAAAGTCGATTAAAAAAACAAGTTGTTTTAGTTTTATCTATTCCAAGTTGGGAGCTTAGACAATATGTCAAATACAACCGTTGATGAATATATTTTTTAGTTTAAAATTGTATTTTTGGCAATTTCATCGTGAAAGTAATCCTCAATTCATAGAATATATGTCGAAACCAGACATTTTTTAGGTTTATTCTTCAACGAATGTGAAATGACATCTCGTCCAAGCCCTTGGCTTTCACTTAATACGGAGCGAGCATGTGACCTTCTAGGACTATTTTATAAAGTAAAAAAAAACACTTACTGAAATAATACAGACAAATAGGTTGTAATCAATGGAATGTCTTATATATAAATTGGTGCGCACGACACGCATATAGAATTGATTAAAAAGGCGCAAAAGCGTTTATAAAAAATGTTTCACGACATCGAAATTGCATAAAAAAAATCACAACTAACACTTTTGAGCTTCACGACACCAAAACTGTTGAGGAAAATAATATGAAAACGGAACAAAAATCTATAATTTGTTATATAAAATCACATTGTGCTAAACTCGTAATGTATTAGTGCTTTTTATAAGCTATTTGCTACAGCGCAAGCGAGACTTCGTGTTGTATGTCGCTTAGTTCTGTTCATTCGCACTTCCGATAATAAACACGGAACTGGCTATTGGCAGTGTTGCCACTGAATTTAATTTTGAATATTAATTTTTCAGTATAATTTTGGACAAATATTAATAGTTTAGTTTTTTTTTTAATTATTAATGTTTTACTGTCGAAAGTATGAAGATGAAGACGTTTTCTTATAAATATTATGATTAAAATTTTAAAAAGGACGTGAATTTATTTACATGTGATACAGCGAATTTGAACTCTTACGTACTCTATCAAAAATACCTAAATATAAAAGTATAGGCACGAGAAATTTCATAATCAATACGTGCATTATCTATTTCCACGCTATAATATGTGCAGTAATATATATAGAATACGAAAAGATTTAAATTACCTATAAGAGACACTTTCATCATCGCAAAGCGAATATGGCACATCACTTACGTTCAGGGTTTTCATTTAATTCCACAATATTTTATTCCAGAAATTAAACTTTCTTCAAATATTTTGATACACGAATAGATATTAGTTACGTTTTGTGGAGTTCGATTCTGACTTTAGACTTATACTTATAATATTTACAAGCTAGCAGATACTACATATAAAAGCGATAGCTATAAATATAGGTACAGATTATAGAAAATATTAGAACATCAAAATATTTATATAACCATATAGTCAGTGAAATGTCTATGTAATAGCTGTAATTTTCGTAATTTTTATTTTATATATAAAATTTTGATTTAAGCTGGAATAATACATACCTACTGATTACAAAAAATGTTTTTTTTTTCATTAATTTTCCGAAATAACTAAGTTTAGCAGTACATGCCAAGTTAGGTCATTTGTGCTGGCAACATTGCTATTATTTATTTTATTTTTTATTACTTAAAAATTGTCTGTATTTTGAAAATTTACTTTTGAATGATCGCAGTTTTTTGTTATCTTTTAGTTAATACAAGACACTTCACCGAAGATAAGTACATATAAATGTTTCTCATTATCTATGCCAACATATTTTTATTTTTCTAATATATTCTTTAAATTAATTCTAAAATACTTTAATTTATAGACAAAAATTGTGCTAGTAACTATTTATATAATACAAAGAAAACAGAATGTAATGTCTTACAGAACACAATTTTGTGCATTTCTAAAGGTCTATAGATGTTCATTTTTATTTAATGTCCATATTGATATAAAATGACTAAGAAACAATAAAAACTTGTAGTTATTATACATTTTAAAATATCTTAGAGATTTTGCACAAATATCACATATACAATTTAGAATGAAAATTACAACAAATAAATGAGTTACAGTTGAAGAAGTATGTGTATAAAAGTCTATGCATTGCGTAGCTAAGCTCGTGATGAATATTTAATAACCTTATGATAATATCAATGTGAAAGTTGATAAAAAAATTGGTTCACGACCGACAAAAAATATGAAACAATACGAAATAAATTAAATATGTTAACAAACATTTGATATTCAAGTATTCTCTAAACAAATATTCTGAAGAAGTAAGTACTTATATCAATAATAATATAATCACAGCCAAAATAAATAATAATTCTTAGAAAATAATACAGTTTCTTGAGATCATGTAAATTTTAGTCTTATAGCATGTAAAGTATATTGTAATACCAGTTATAGTAAATTTATTAAACAATATGTTGTTTGGCACAACTGTATTGGGAAAACAACAAAGTTATTGATTTCAAAGGAAACCTGCACGAACTTTAGCAATAATTTACGAAATATTAGTCTAAAATAGTAATCACAATCAGTCTCCAATAAACGATTCATATATAAATTTCAGGACTCGTTTACAACTGCAATCAATATTTTATATCAACGTAAAGTCACAAATGATTGAAATAAACACGCAAGAAATGTGCTTCGTACAGATTTAAATCTTATTTATGACAGTAATAATAAGAGGTAAGAATCTACAGTACTGCTACTCTACCGTGACTTGGTCCATCTGTTAAATGTGAAAGCAAACATCAACTCACTAAGCTTTAAGCTCGTCTGCTAGCAGGAGCATAACTTGAACTGGTAACACGAAAGCAGAGTCTAAAGAAAGTTCAGTTTTTAAGCCTTCAACGCATGGCGGTTATCTCCTCATTTGACATTTCGTTGATGCCGAGCATCCTATTCCTCTACGGAGTATGCGTTCAAGAGCTTTAAAGCTCACTTGTTGAAGTATTTATTTTGGAGATTACAGAAAGGTAAATAGTTTTATTGAAATAATACTTTACAGACTTTACTTTTTATAGAATAACATACATAGCTTCAACATTTTATTCATAGTTATGTAAATTAACGTGAAATTATGTGGTTACCAATGAAATCAAATACTATTCCATAGAGAAGTAAGATGTACGGAATCAACGAATTGTCAAACTAGGATGTTCACATCCTCGACATAATCAGATAACGTCCGTCAGCCAGCAGTTCCCTTGTATCAGAAGGTGACCCTGGACTTAGGCTTGGGGCTACTGAGGGTGTGGAATACGTATCTTTGTTAAATTTTCCTAGTCGCCTTTCATTTTCTGATGCTACAGAAACTTCCTCTTCCACAATTTGTTCGAGCGGCGTTTCTCTCATCGCATCACCGTTTACAGCAAGAGCATTAACAAATCCGTGGACTCTATCCGGAGGGGGTTCTGTATACGTTTCAGTAATCGCATCTGCTAATACTTCAGTAGCTCTAGCCCTCCTAGCACCCTTCGTTCTCATCCCTCCCGTCTCAGCATCACGCTCTAATCTATGACCAGATCGAGACCGTGTTAGCTGTCGTTGTACGTAGTCCTCCAACGCGTCTTCCTCACTTTTCGTCAAATACTTATGAAGGGCGATTAAAAATATTCCAATACCCAGAGCAAATAAACCAGAACAGACCAACTCATTGAACCAGCTGACAGACCCTATGTTGCTCCACGCAGTAACATCATCAGGCAGCCATCCAGATGCGACCAGAAATACTCCAAGAACTAGAAATACAACTCCAAGGTGGAGCATGCCAACAGATGAGACGACTTCATTTTCGGCGGTTCCAGACTTCTTGTGTCTACGTCGCTCGAGGCTGCCGGTAGAGCAGTGAGGAGAGGTGACCCCAGACTCGGAGGACTGGAGGGAGTAGCGTCGTTCACGGGCTCGTTGTTGCTCAGCACGGCGTTTGCGCTCACGTCGTATTGCCAGCGCGGAGTGAAGGCCCACAGCGTGCATCCTGCAATCACGGGCACGGGTTACCGCGTGCACGGGCGGCGCGACCCGTGCCCGTGCCGTGCCGCCCGATACACGTTAAAGACTTGATTTCTACAGGACATTCAATTTTATATGTCCCAAATTTTACTTTACTCTTTTAATAGATAAAATAGAAATCAAGCCTTTCAATTTTTATAATAAGTTAAATATTATAAGCTTAAATGTGTACGTGATTGAAAATTCGCATCGTGTCAGCCAATCATTAAAATGTAAGCAGTTTTTAAATAATAAAAGTGTAGTTTTATATTGTACCAAAAAATCAAAAGTAGATGTCAAAGCTCCAGCGGTTGATTGCAAATACTGAAGCGAAATGGTCGCAGAATTATTCTGACGACATTTTTTATCTCACGAGATGAAAAGGAAATGGCTGTCCCTTCTTAATGCTTCATCCAACATACATATAAGGGCGGTCATCCACCAACTAGTTAATATATAGCGCTATATTCAACTTTTATTGCTATAATATGTATCTTTCCATAATTGTACTTTAAAAACATATTTTATTATTGAATTAAATAAGAAATAACTTTTGTAGAGTATAATAACGTTTGACAAATCTGCTTTACACTGCCTTGCTATCGCTATAGATCAAGTAGAAGAGGAGCCTAACAGAGGAATGTCAAAGGTGAATATGAATAGCAAATGACCGGAGCTGTTTAGAAGGAAATATTCCTACTTTGCATAAGCACTGTATGTCTAGATATAAAGAGACTCGTTTATACGCTGTTCTAATGATGTTTCAATTAAACAGATTTTTTTTCTCGTAAAATAATAGTTTCAACGTGTGTCAAGATGGAAAAATATCTTATTCGATCAATCTTACTAAAATAAACAAGTATTTTGTATTAAAAATCTTGTTAAAATTGGTTAAGTCGTTCTGGAGATTAGGGATTACAGATAAAATATATGCTATTTGTTATTTGCGCTTTAGTATCGTCCATAATAAAAATTTAAAATAAGATAATGATGATGTTTTGAAATCTCACACACACACTTTTATTTTGTTTATTAGTATATACATATATAAATAAGTTCTTTTCAAGGTTTACACGCTTGCTTACTTAGTAATCAACGAGCATGACGCTTTAACTGCATTATTGTGCACAGTTTGAGATGTGTTTTAAGATGTACTCATCCGACAAAATAGAGTATTACAAGTGTTTTGTACTTAATGGCTTTATTCATTTCCCGCGGCTTCATTTACAGGGTAAACGGGACAGAGATAAAAAGTATTGTTTGTCTGTCACCATGATATTAAGTATATATATGGTCTTTCCAAATTTCGCTGAAATTTGAAAATAGTGGTTTAAGCGTGAAAACGTAAAAACAAACAGACAGATACAGTAACTTTTATATTTAAACTTAATGTCGTACCCTCGCTTTACTCGGGTGCGTCTCTATGTATACATATGTACATACATATAGCATTGCTACAGTTAATAGATCTTTTTAAGAGCAGTAATTCCTTAATACATCGTTTTCATTAACCTTCAACAATCATCGTCATATTTTATCCAATTTACACAAAACTTTAATGAACTACACACCTAAAGCTTCTTCATGAACTATATGAAAAGTTTTTTTAGTTAATCGCATTCAGGTAAACATACAGACGAACGGGATGGCTTTTGTTTAATATATTTTTAAAATGGGTATTTTTAAATGTCTTAAAATAATGAACTACATCACACTAATATTAGAAATATGAAAGTAGCACTGTCTGTTTGGTATCTATCACACTCAAACCACTAAACAGATTTCTATGAAATTTGGAAAAGATATAGGTACAGTTATTGCAGATATTTCAAATAATACTATTTAAAACATAAAATAACGAAGTGTACAAAATAAGGGGTCTCGAGTACCATTAATCTGAACAGTGCTGAAGTGATCATTTACGATCGCATCGAGTGATACCGGCTTTGAGGAGAATTAGATGAGATTGTAAAAAGATTAAAGCAGATATTACTTACATAACATATATCTTACGTTACTATAAAACATGAACATAATGTAGAAAAAACTATAATTTTAGTATTTTAGATATTGATTTTGATATAGCACTTCATACCCATTACGTCACATCTTGTTAACTTCAATATATGTAAATACAAACAAAGTTTAGAAGTAGGCGAAGAAGTCTAATTAGATCTGATAAATTACTTCAAATTCCATGTTTTTTCCTGATTTTAACAAAAACTATATACTCTATATCAAAGACCTAACCTAATATAAAGTTAAAAGTAGCAAAATCGGTCGAGAAATCGGTGAACATATATAAAAAAAACATACAGACGAACATAGAATCTCCTCCTTTTTGGAAGTCGGTCAAAAATAAACGCAAACTACCAATGAAACTACAATTTTTATAAATAAGCAAAATGAGAAAATATTACCCAAATGAACGTTGTGAAAGTTAGAAGAGATTACAAAATAAATCGTTTGGGAAAATAGATGCCTTCATTCATCATCCAGTACATTCTAGGAGTAGTATTACGAGACAGGTGTCACGCGCAACAAGTCTGGCGCATTGCCGAGCAAATCTATGAGTTTTGTTTATATTTCTTTTATTTAATAGTTTTAGCCTACTGTGAAAAATTGACCACGAATAGGCACTTGGAAAGCTTGGATATAAATATAAATATGTTGGGACATTAACACACAGCACCATCTAGTTCCATGGTAAGCTACGAGGCCTTTCTTATGGATACCAGGTAGGATACACTACACATATATAAAATTTATAAACACCCTTGACTGGAGTATAAATATTTGTGCTCATCACACAAATGAATGCCCCCAGCGGGGCTCAAACCCGCGACCGTTGACACAGCAAGTAGGGTCACTACAAACTGAGCCAAACGCGTCGTCAACATAGCGTAGCATAGCATGGATTTTAACTACATTTCAAAAAAAATAATTACGATCGCACATAATAAGTATAGGTGTTGTCTTAGTAAGTTTTTTTTTTCATTAAAAAAGGTGGTATATGATGGGATATCTTCATCTATTATATAATATCCTTGAGATAGCTCAACGAACAGCTCTATAAATTTGTACCCCGTTTCTATATCCATGCATTTTAATCAATATTCTTCAAAATTCTAACAGTAAAAATATATTTAATAAAAATATATTTTTACAGTCATTATGAATGTGCAACTTTTTATTTAAAATGCCGATATAAATTCATAATTTTATTTGTGCAGCCACATACAGACTAATATATGTATATTTATATATGAATATATATTAATTATTTCTAATATATAATAAATAAATAAATAATAACTCTTAACTTCGCCATGCAAACGTATCAAGTGACTCTGCGGGCTATTAGGAAGAAAGTAGCGAACCATGTTATTTCTGTTTGATAATATTGACTTAAACTCATTCACTCGAGTTTCGCTCGGCTACCATAGAATACCCACTGCTCATATTTTACTCCAGGTTACAGCCTATTTTCGTACTACAAGTCATCCAAATTTGTCCAGTCGTTATAGAGTGAAAGAGTAACAAACCAACAAACACACACTTTCGCATATATAATACTAGTTTAATTATTAACACAATTTTCAGTCAAAAAGCTAACTTAGTATATAAAGGTTTTTAAAGTACATACTTGAGTGTACACTATAGGTTTAAAGTGGAAATAAAACCTTTTAAAATTCACATTCGGTATATAAGTCCGCGTTTAAATGACCTAGAAACGATTATATCCGACCTACTTCGAGAACTTCGATTGGGTGAGACGGCCACAAGCTGCAGGCATTGTTGTGAAATGCTTACAACAGAGTGTATTGCATCTATTTTTAGCGGTTGTTTTAAGTAAACATTTTCAGTAATATAATATTCGGTTCGAGATTTTCTTAAGCTTTAGATATTGCTAATAATTATTACAAATATTATTAAGATTAAAAGGTTTTTCATATTTTTGGCCGATTTCAATTCCCCCTTTACTTAATTGGGACTAATTATATGTTCTGATTGGCATAAAAAGACATTTTTGCGTACAAAATTTGTTACGCCATTAAAGGTTTATCCAAAAAATATATTTTGGTAGCTCCCTGTATTATTATAGGAATATAATGTGAAAAAATCAGAGTGTGTAAGCACTTTATCCCCTATACGATGTATCCCATATCGCTCGCATAATTTACCACTGATTCATGTGTAGAAAGCCATGAGGCAAATTAGTTGGCCGAGCTTGCCAAAGTAATATACATAATAATGTCCTAAAAGATTTCGAATACGCTAGCCAACTGAGACTATCCAAATCCACGGGACATATTATAGTTAGTGTACAAGTGTGTGGGTAGACAAATGCACGTTCTATTCCTTTAACTCTCACATTCTGGAGGGACAACATCTCGACATGAGGCAAAGCGGAGAACCGACAGCTTAAAGTGCGCTCTGATATGAATATTTCGCGATATACCCAATAAATATTTTGACCCGACCCAGGAATCGAACCTCACCATCTGGCTACATATTCGTCACTAGACCATAAAGGCAGTCAACGATAGACATAAATACACTTGAAACACATTGTTTTCCTTCTTCGAAAATTGGGTAAAAAATCCAATGTTCCCGATGAGCAATACCATAAGACAGATAGAAGAAAGGCTCGTTGATGCGAATTAAAACTACTTGGTCTTGTGGAATAAAACTTTAAGTTCTTTGAACTTTCAAGTGTAACAATATCTTTTATTGGCGCGCATTTAGGCCATGACCATCCTCGATTGCTTCTTCGATTATTATGTTCATATTATTTATAAATCAAAAGATAGAGATATTTAGGTGAATTGGTGATCTTATTACTTATAGTAGTGATAGTACCAGATATATATATATATATATAAATATATATATATATGTTTTATTACATAGTTTTTTTAATTTTATAGTACTTGCTATTTGACCGACTTGAAAAGTAGGAGGTACTCAATTCATTTTATTTT